TTCTCATGGCACTGCATGAATACATCAGCGCAGGCCCCCATGCTGGTATTACAGCTACGTTAATGCCTATATTTACTAAACCAGGCAATAACGCCAAAGCGGTGAGTGCAGCCTGACCTCCCTCCCTTCTGTGTTTTAACAGTTCTTGCACCTTGTCAGGAACTGCTAATCACCGGCTGCCTTATTTCAATGGGAGCTGGCCTAAAGTAAAAATACAGACACATTAATTAGACATGAGCAACACACCTAATGAGCGGCTGGTACAGGAGGTACTTTTCCGTATGAAAGGTATCCAAATTCTATGCACTCAAGAGAAATTATGTCATTAAATACATCTTAATTTGCACACATTGCTCTGAATCAGGGCGGCCATTTGTCCTACTTTGCAGGCGACTGTCTTCTGTAGGAGGCATCCTCTGTTTGAACAGCTGGCTGGGCCAAATTAGATTGAAATATAAAAAACCCTCAAAAGTTTGCCATCAATGGTTAGCATCTAGAGAGCAAACTGTGCAGGCACACAGCTCACCTGCTCAGTTTTCTATGATGGGAGGAATTATAGTTTTACTTAAATAATAACGAAGTTTCTAAATTTGCATCTATAAATATACATTGTTGTTGTTGTTTAGTTGTTTAGTTGTGTCTGACTCTTCATGACCCCATGGACCAGAGCACGCCAGTCACTCCTGTCTTCCACTGCCTCCAGCAGTTTGGTCAAACTCATGCTGGTAGCTTCAAGAACACTGTCCAGCCATCTCGTCCTCTGTCGTCCCCTTCTCCTTCTGCCCTCCATCTTTCCCAACATCAGGGTCTTTCACAGGGAGTCTTCTCTTCTCATGAGGTGGCCAAAGTATTGGAGCCTCAGCATCACGATCTGTCCTTCCAGTGAGCACTCAGGGCTGATTTCCTTAAGAATGGAGAGGTTTGATCTTCTTGCCGTCCATGGGACTCTCAAGAGTCTCCTCCAGCACCAGAATTCAAAAGCATCAATGCTTCGGCGATCAGCCTTCTTTATGGTCTAGCTCTCACTTCCATACATTACTACTGGGAAAACCATAGCTTTAACTATATGGACCTTTGTTGGCAAGGTGATGTCTCTGCTTTAAATTATAAATTAGCTGATGTAAATTGTATTCAGATCTGCAGCTCTTTTGTTCCCTTTTTGGGTGGTGCGTAAGTAGACACCGTATTTTTGGCAAGGACAAAGGTAGACAGGACATGGGCCAGGGAAAGGTAACAGGGTTGTTGGTGAGTTCTGGTATAAAGTAAGGAATTAAAATGGTTTATCTAAATCATACTGGCATCTGTATGGCTTCCATCAGATTCTGGCTGATCTCCTCTGCACTGCTATCTGACAATAAGCAGAGTTCATGCATTTGTTGTTCCTCCACAATTGTGGTGTAATATGGGTTTTCTACTATACCAAAGTTGCTTTTTCTGCAATTAGGCTGGTTTCATGTTTGCTAATTTTATATGTTCAGTAACAAACTGCATCAGTAGTGTGCAGTGTGATTGATTCAGTAACAAACTGCACTGTAGTGTGATTGATCATTGTTGGTGAAGCATGCATGTGTGAAAACATCTGGAGCCTGTATAATACCAATTTTAGGAAGTTTGGCAGCAAAAGAAAACAAGCCAGAATTCAATGAAAGCCACATTCATACTCGTATCTCTCCATATTGGAAAGCTATTCCCCACTGGTGCAGCTGATAGAATTCAACTTCAAATTTATTCTTTTACAGAAATCTGTAGCCCATCATCAGTGTAAGCAGAAATTGTGGTAGAAAACTATGGAGATGGAGACTAGGCAAAATGCTAATTTGGTAAAACATATTCTTCTGTACCGAGAGGCAGGTGGGAGGGACTTGTCCAGCTGGGCAAAGAGGTGATTGGTCACAGCACACAAGACAGAAATGTCTCCAGGATTCTCTGTGAGTCACTTGGGTCATTCCTGCAGAACTGTGCTTTTATTTTATTTTATGTCTTTTATTTATGTCTGTACATCATCCTAGGAACAATTTTTATGGGGCATCTGCTAAACAGAGCGAGTAAGCGAAGAAGTAAATAAATATGCAAGTCCGGAAAAGCGACCTAGAAGTTTGAGGAAGTAGAATATTTAAATTGCTAAACACAGATAATCTGTCATGTTCGTTAACCATTTCTGTCCCAGTTTTTTTTTAATGCTTTGCAGTCATTGTATAGTTTACCTTTAAGGCAACTGAGTGACTCATCTGCGCGGTCGCAATGCCTTCTTATTGATGTAGAACCATAAATAAGATGGCTCAGGGAAGGCCACCCAGCAAATTCATATCCAAACTGGAATTAAGCCTTAAACTTGACATTTGTCATAGTCTACCCTTGCAGTTGCTTTATTTTAAAAACAAATTGCCTGCGCGGGAAGGGGCCAGATCAAATCTGGACCATGGCAGGGAGGGGAGCTATAATAATTGTACCCATGGGAGTCTCGATTGAAATCTCCCCTTCCATGCCTGCTGTTTGCAATGGGAGGAACACCCCCAGTGGTGTCTGTGGGAGCTTTCCACCACTGCCTCCTGATCTAAAGGGCCACACAGTGGCAGCTGGTGGATCCCAGCAGCAAATTCTCTACCTGGGAATTCCTGTAATGTACCATATCCTGCTAGGGACGCGGGTGGCGCTGTGGGTTAAACCACAGAGCCTAGGACTTGCTGATCAGACGGTCGACGGTTTGAATCCCCGCGACGGGGTGAGCTCCCGTTGCTCGGTCCCTGCTCCTGCCAACCTAGCAGTTTGAAAGCACGTCCAAGTGCAAGTAGATAAATAGGTACCGCTCTGGCGGGAAGGTAAACACCGTTTTTGTGTGCTGCTCTGGTTCGCCAGAAGCGGCTTAGTCCTGCTGGCCACATGACCCGGAAGCTGTACACCGGCTCCCTCTGCCAATAAAGCGAGATGAGCACCGCAACCCCAGAGTCGGCCACAACTGGACCTAAAGGTCAGGGGTCCCTTTACCTTTACCATATCCTGCTAAGGAACACAGCAGGCTGAATGCAACATGCCCTACTTGTGGGTTCCATCTAGGCCTCTGGTTGCCCATTGTGAGAACAGGACACTGAAGTAGATAGGCCTTTGGCCTGATTCAACAGGGACTCTTTTTACATTCTTCTGTTTCAGCTTCTATCCGTCTGTCCAATCCACCAACAAAGGTGGTTCATAATCTGGAACTTTTGGGCTTAGCATAGCATTGTAGGGCCTTCAGTGACATTAGATAGCTAGAAAACTTTCCTGGGGTGAGGCGGCTTGATTGTCACAAGATTCATGTGCTGAAACTGACACTACAGCCTGTGCATCCATGAACAAGCACTTGCTCTGCTGTCCTTCAAGAGCTGCACCCCTAAATTTTCAGTTAATGCAATGACCATTTCTGGTCTCTGAGAGTGGAGAGAATGCACAGGCAGCACCTTGGAAATGCAACAGGTTAAGCAGTTTAGCCTTGGTTACGGCTTAGCTTTTTAATTATAGCAAACCCCAAGTTGCACAACCCTCCTCCTTAACAATTCACCTTTTCATTTGACCCTGAGGGTCACACACCAAGACGGCTCAATCTGACGGTGGGTCAATCCATGGGCTCAGCCCTCGCTGCCTTGCTGTTTGGAACCCTGCTTGCTTCAGCACATTGCTCAAGCCCACTTCCCCCCTTGGGTTCCAAAGAATTCGCAAAGGGATGCTTGGCTCCACCCAGCTGTCCCTGTACCATTCAGGAGAGGCAGTGGAGCAGATTTCTCACCAGGACTGAGTCAGTGAAAGCAGTCAGAGGCCGTGAGCCAAAGCGTTGGGGCTAGTCCAAGTTTAGCAAGGTGCGGCCAACTGCATCCGTATTTGCCACTCGCAGGAACTGCCACCCACGCAGGCACTGAGGGCATGTTGCTCTTGCACATTGCCACAATGTGGGAGTCCAGCCCACTCGTGTGATCCTGACCCTGCAGCACGTGCTGCTTATCAGAATATTCCTGATCCCAGTCCAAAAACACCCACTCTCCCCAGTGTTCCAGGCAGGTGTTGCTAAAGCAACCTCCAGCCTTCCTGTAAACTGCATCGAATCCAGCTTCAGCATATTTTGCTAGTGCCACCTCCTGGCGCTTTTTCCTTCTGGCCTCACCTTTCTGCGAGATGCACAAAGTTGGTTGGGTTTCGTTGCAGTTAAATTTAGCTTTTTTTTTGCGACACTTCCACATCATCCAGTAACAAAAGTTCTCTGGGCAGTTACAGTAAAGGAGGTGCAGGAAACCTGCATCTCTCCAGATGTTGCTGGACTACAATTCCCATCATCCCTAACCCTTGGTCATGCTGGCTGTGGCTCTTGGGGTCAATTGATGGCATCTGAAGGGGTGCAGGCTAGGCACCTCTGCAGTAAAGGTAAGAACCGTAAAACACAAAGAATAATGAAAATCTAAGATTCTTTAAAAAAAACCAAACACCTTGTAAAACAAACCAGAATAGAACCAGCAAAGAAAATTAACAGCAGTTTAGAAACTCTAAGAAAAAAATTAAAACTGTTTTATTTATAATGAAATTTATATCCTGCTCTTTTGTCCATAGGAGCCCAGGGCACTTGGTGCCATGAAGTCTACAACAGTAGCCCTCTGTTGCCGTTTTTCCTGTTAGCATGCATGCATGGTGGGTCTGCTAAGCTGCTTTCCCAGAAGGAATTCTTACGTGATGACTGTCTGAGAGCAACAAAGCATTTCCAAAACCTGTTTATGATGATGGGGGAAAACATGCCACTTCTTCAAAGGAAGTCAGGAGAATCTTCTGGACACCCAGATAGGAGGCAGAGAGGTTAGATCTGGCTCCTAATCTTTCTAATGTTGCCTGTTTCACCCGACTGTGATCTTGGATACAAAAGGAAGCATTTAACAGTGGCATCTTGGGTACCAAAGCAGAAGACAAAACCCCCACCTTCCATGTTTGTTTCTAACAACTGGAAATGACATTTGGATCACCTGTAGATGATGCATTAGAGGAGCTGTCTGTGCATGTTTGTGTCTGCCTGCCCGCCCTGTTCCATCTAGGTCTTGGGCCCCAAAGGCAACTAAAAACTTAGGTAGCTGAGGTTAATACCATTTCTTAAACTCACATCACATAAAAGGCCAGAGCATTTGCTATAAGTTACCATTTATTCTGCAGAACAGAGGTATCTTTCGTCGACTTAACACATCAGTATCATGAGGCACACCTAAATCTCCAGCAGCAGCTTATATGTACACAAAGTACCTCTCCTGCCAGACATCTGAGTTGTCATCTTCTCCGCAACAGAGCAGCTGTCTGTAATACTGGAGGTGCAGGAGAGGTTGGTCACAACCCTCTCTAATGCCCACAAGGTTTCACAGTGGAAGGGACCTTTAGAAAAGGGACGTGTTAACATGCCCTGACAAGTTGAAAAGAAACAAATGCTATGAGCGACCAGTCCCAGCATTAACCTCATCCCTTAATGGCAGAAGGTGGGCTGTCGGGCGGTGAACTGTTCCTGCCTTGCCAGGCTCCATTTCCCCCCATCTGAAAGGGGTTCGGAGGGATTGGTCTCTGCGCATTATTGCACGGTGAGTGCTCCCTGCTCACTGTGGTCCATGTTCCAGAGGCGGTAGAATTCTGCAAAGTCCACGTAGGGCTCCACACGCCCATCTTCATCCGGCTGGAGGGAGTGGGAAGGGCGAGAACGGAAGAGGCCCCCATCTGAGCTGGAGCTACTACTCTGGGTGTGAGTGTTGGTAGACTGGAGGGTCACTGTTGGGCTTTGACTGCAGGGAGGGAAAGAGAAGCAACCTTCAGTCAGCACAAATGACACAGCAAATGCAACCTGAGGCCTCTCCCCTCAACTCTGGGGAATCTGCAGCCCTCCAGATGTTGTTGGACTACAACTCCCATCATCCCTGATCTTTAGCCATGCTGGCTGGAGCTGACGGGGGTTGCAGTCCGACGTCATGGGGAGGGCCCAGGTAGACGAAGGCTGTCACAAAGCATCACAGACAATCCCTGTTGCCTGATGTGAGCACCTGTATCAGTACACAAACCTGCAAAATGCAGAATGCAGGCTTGAGGCACCCACTGGGAACATCTTTAAGTGTGAATAGGGCATTAAAAATGTAAATGCATATACAGTCTACCAATAAAAGCCTCTCATCTTGCACCTGTGTGTAACACACAGAAGTTCCTCCTTTCTTATCCAAGCCACTTCTGCTTTTTTATAATGATGAAGAGGAACTTTCAGCAAATGCTGCTAATAGATTTGATTTTTCATTCTACAACTATACTGGGTGGGTACTTTTTTTTTTTTTTTGCATGCTCATATTTTTGTCCCTATCCCTGAACAGCCAAAGGAGGAAGCACTTAAAATCAGCCAAGAGCAGTACCATTGCTCTATTTTTCTGGGCAACCCACTCTTTCTCTGGGGAGCAGCTAAAAGGCTTGTTCTTAGCTGAGCTTTGTCCGATATGAATGACCTGGTTATGTTTTCAAGGTGAAGGGACAGAACACTCTTGCTCATCATCTAAAGAGGGTTTCTGAGATTAGGCCATTGGACCACAGACTGCCTGCCCCTACCATGCGGGTTTAAAAGTGAAACGGCTAGTAGGCCTCCACTGCTAGGCCTAAGAAGCAGCTAACAGGGGAAGTGGAATGTTGCCTCCAGCAAAAAGGAGGGCAAAAGGACAGCTGGTCTGAGCAAGGGGCACTTACTTTGTGAGGGTGGGTGTGGCTTCATCCAACGTGGAGCTACTGTGGGCGCCGTTGACCATCTGACCCTGGGATGGCATGACAAGGGATAGCGTAACGCTGGTCTTGCTTGTGTTCTGGGCACTGGAGTACGGCACCGACACAGGATAAACTCGACCTCCTGAACATGCAGAATAAAACATTGTAAGCACTAGGAAGGCCAAGATTCTCAGAAAACTCCATACCTCTGTCACTCTACAAGTGGGAAGAATTTCCTGGAGCATCAAGGACAAAGATCACTCTCCAAGAAAAGGATGGTGAATCTTTTCTGACTCATTAAGGCTCAGTCATCCCCGAGGGCCACATGCAAATAAAGAGCATGGCCAATATACCCAAGCATCCATCCATACACACACACACACACACACACACACACACACACACAGAGAGAGAGAGAGAGAGAGAGACTACAAATACAGCACCCACAAGCTCACCATAAACGCAGGCACACCTGTCTGCCTATCTATCTGTCACACACACAGTTGGACGGAACAGTTTTGATCTGCCTTGCGCCCTCTCCCATACAAGCACACTGACCTCCCCCATACCTTGCGTCGGAGTCAGTGTGGGCTGGCTCATCTCACCCAGCGGGTACCCGAAATTCCTCACCAGCAGCGACATGTCCTCATGCCGAGCACAGAACTTGGACCGTTCCCCACCGCTGGCGTATGTATCACAGTGAATGCGCTTCACTCGATCCACAACTGCTTGAGCCACGGAATCCAGTGAGCTTTGTTTGGCAAACTCTGTGGCAATCATGGCTGCAATCTCCTAGAAAGAGAGAGAGTTGTCAGGGGTGGGGAAACTGGAGCTGCTGCTTCAGATGTTCTCCCAGCCATGTACAGAAGCAGGCCCTGCACAGCTGGGCTAATGTTTAAAGGACCCAACCGCCCGGTTGACTGGGGCAGGTGTCAGCCATGGAAGTGGCATCCTACCAGGTGGAGCAAGTCTGTGCTGACTGATTCCATGGGGAAGAACCATGCAATGTGGCCCTGACCATGTGCATGGGCCCTTCAAATATTCTCACAGAAGCTGCTTGGAAGCTTCTGATAGATAAGCAGCTGGGAGAACATCTGAAGGGCACCCAAGTAATCAGCCTTAGGGGAAAGGCTGCAACACGTCACCCTCTAGGGTGCCTTTGTTCGGCTACTTGAAAGATGCATTGTGTTTAAATGGTGAAGGCATTCATTGCATTCCTACAGGAGGCTTTCACGTCCATCCTTGTGGGTTGCAACTTTTACATTTGCTTTTTTAGGGGGAGGTTAAAGCAGCATTAAATAAATACTACGGAGGATGTTCCCTGTGCTGCAACTGGAAGTGAAGGAAAGGAGAAGCCTGCAGTTTTTTATGGTGGACTTGAATGTAAGGATAAGAACGGAAGATCAGGAGTTGGATCATGCCAAAAGCCCAGCATTCTCAAGGTGGCCAATCAGATGCCTATGGGAAGTCCAAAACGTTCTCCCCACCTGTGATTTCCAGCAATTGGCATCCAGAGGCATCCAGCCTCCAACTGTGGGGGCAGAACATAGCCTCTGTGGCTAGTAGTTATTGACAGACTTATCTTCCTCCATAGATTTGTCTAAACCTCTTTTGAAGCCTTCCAAGTTGGTGTCTGTCACCGACTCCTATAGAAGGGAATCCCATATTTCAGCTATTGGATCAATGTTCAATAGATGCAGCAGGCAGACCAGAACCTAGTGGCAGAGCCATTGACTGGGGCAGCGGGGATGGAAAGTAGAGGGAACATTTTCTGCAGGAACATGATTTCACTTCCCTGAAAAAAGTTGTCCCTAGGATTCCTCTTCACCTCTCCAGCCTTCTCCTGCACAACGGATTTTATGTACTTATAACTATTAGCCTTGCTCATCTCTGTAGCCTAGGGCTACCCAGAGGGGCCTATGAGCACAGAGAGCTCAAACACTCTGGGGCAAATTTCAGATCTAATGATGGGTGCATCTCAGTACGCTATGCAGACAGAGTCAACCTGAAGACCTGCACAGGATTCCAAGGCCAATTTAAAGCTGCTCTGGCACTCTTACCTGATTGGCTTGCCCAGGCCCATGAGCTGCTTCCAGAGCTTTGTAGAGCCCTTCTGACATCAGAACCAGAAAGCCCGTGACTCCATCGAGTGGGTGCCCTCCGTGGATTTCAGGCTCTGCTATGATTGGCTTAGATTTCGCAGCACTGCAAAGGGAGAAGAACTAAGTTAGTACTGGACAGAGCGACAGAGACAGCTATGTCTTCAAAAGCAAAGACAGGAAAGGAAAGTAAGACCAAGTATTGGGTCTTGCCTCACCTCAGCAGTTCAATATCACTATAGCCATATTTGACTTTATAATCCCCGATGCGCCGGGTACTCTCCTGCCCGCATATGGTTCCTACTTGTTTTATTTTTGCTGCATCCAAACCTGCAGATAAAGAATCAGCTCACTGACTTCAGGGCAGATGCTAAATGTGTCCTATAGTTACATTCCAAGGCAAGAAGAGGAAGCCCTCCCCACCCCCAGCTAAACAGGGATTTTGACTGAACAAAAAGCTGATGAATGAGGGAAGACAGAATAAACTCAACTAAGGAATGGAGGACAGTGAGGAGCTTTTCATCTGTAATATATTGAAGTCTGCACATGCATTCAGAAGTGGTCAGGGTGCTTTGATGCAGCCTGAGATCTTTTACATTTGGCAAAAACAGAATTACACAGCCAACCAGATGAATCCCTACTGCACTCAACTCTACTGTGTCACAGCACTTCCTTGGAAGAAAGAATCCCAATTTCTTTAATAGGCACTGGACTCATAACTGAAGTCGCTATGAGAATGATTCAGTATCAACCGGGATCTTGGCATAAGCTTTCTTTGGGAATACAGTGCAGGATGAGTTACCCTCAGTCAACAGGTAGATCTCATGTAAAAATAATAATTTTATTTTCCTACACCCATGTCAACAGAGGATTACATGTCTTGCATCTGACATCTAGTTCATGAAAGCTTATGCTATTAAAAACTCGTTACTTTTTAAGGTGCCAGAAGAGTCTGCTGCAGTGCTGGCTCTAGGTTTGGGAGGGAACATGGGCAAGACACTCTTTACAGCCCCCCTGTTACAGTGCTGCAGAAAGCCAATAAGCAAGCAAGCAGTAGCATTCACAGCTCCACTACAGTGTGATGCAGCTGTGCTAGTTGGCTGCAATGGTGAAGAGAAGAAAGTTTGGAGGGCTCTCCTTGGTGAGCCCCCTATTGCATTATGGGCCTCAGCAGGATTTCAGTTCGGACAAGGATTCCAACAGAACTGGTTTCATAACCGTTTGGTGAAAAAACTGATGCAGGTGGCCAAGTATTTTGAAGAGTAAAAAACTTGATTAGGGCAGCGAGTAAGCCACTGTCCTATTTTGAAGCATGCACCAATTATTAGCAGCTCGCCCTCTAGGGGGCAGTTAATGCGCAACAAGCCATGACTGTTGCTACAGTGGATAAGGCATGGGAGGGGGTTTTTTTGCAATCAATGCTTGTGGGCAACAATACATACCACTCAGCTCAGCGTGAAAGCCAGGGTGGTTTGGAGAGCCTGCGCTAAAGAGGTTAAGTTACTCAAAAGCCACAGTTTGGGGCCCTCTTTGTGTCAGAGGCAGAGCTGGAGTCAGTGGGCTGTTGCAAGTAAAAAATGGGGTGGGAACTGTTGGTAAAAGCACTGCCTGTTTAATTTGTACAGATTTTTTGTTTGTTTTTACCTAGAAAGTTAGTTAAATTGGAAATATTAATGTTTGTTGCTGTAGTTTTGCTTGTTTACCTTACAACAGAATTGTTTAGTTGCTGATTACATCTATTTATATAATTTTGAAATTTTTGTATATTGTTTGTCAGTTTTTATTTTTACTATTTGTTCTCCGACTCAATTCCCCACCCAGATTCAGTATGAGGAAAAAGTAAGAAAGCTACCTCATCCCTCAGTTATTGATCATTTCTGATATCCAGCATGTATTCCCTGTTATGGGGAAGAGGAGACATTAACACTGTAACTTGGTCATTTAAACACTCCTGTGTTTGGTAAACACAAAAGCCACCAATGATAGTGATGTGCTACAGAGGTGGGGAAATCACCACAAAAGTCTCCTCTCTGGCAGCCTTTTCTCTATTGCACGGTTGAGGAACCCATGGGCCTCCATACATTAAGGAACTGCACCACCCATCTTCCTTGACCCTTGAACTCACTGGCTGAGAATGATGCAAGCACTGGCCCAACAACATCTGGAGGGCCACAGCTAAAGCCACCCCTGCTCTGTTGGCTCACCAAGGCCCATCCTCTCCCAGACTTACTTCTCTGCTGCTCCAGGAATGCAACACTCACCCAGCTGCGAAAAGCGGAAGAGCTCATCGTCATTCTCTGTGGTGTGGTCCATGTTGAGTTGTGTCACTTGCAACCCGTCTACTGTAGATTTGCACAAGAGTGCCCTGTTTGTTCCTGTGGAGAAGGAGTGCATTTTGTAAAAGTGGAAAGGGGGACAAGTGAGGCACCTGAGGAAATACATACACTTATTAAGTGCAACCCAGTACTACCCCTCTCCAGCAAAACCTAGAAGCAGTGCTTGTCAATGCCAGCGTCTCATCTCTCCCGCTTTCCCTGTTGTATTTACCCAGGCAACTAGGTTTAGTGGCTCTGTAAGGATGTCAGTGAAGCATTACTCTTGTACAAAGAGGCTAAAGTAACCCATCCTTCAGTGCTGTGACCAGGAAGTGCCTAAATCAAAAACGGCATTGAAGAGGAACACACCTACATTGGCGATGTAGAGCTTGTTGTTGAGGATGACTGCCACAATAGCCATGGCCCCTCCAGAGATCTCCTTTTCTACAGCCTTCAGCCGTTCCATGATTTTCTGGTACTGGGAAGGCAACTGGTGATGGGGCACCCCCTAGAATACAGGGTTGTGGAAGCCTGTGTAAAAATTTATCAGTGCAACATTTCTGAAGCCTTCTCTAGACCAGTGTTTCCCAACCTTGTGCCTCCAGCTGTTTTTGAACTACAACTCCCATCATCCCTGACTAGCAAGACCAGTGGCAAGGGATGATGGGAATTGTAGTCCAAAAACAGCTGGAGGCACAAGGTTGGGAAACACTGCTAGACACACCAAAAACATTTGATCCCACTTTTTGCACACCTCCACCCAGGTGTATAGATACCTGCCAGCTTCAGGCATCTGGTGAACTGGGCACTAGTCTACGAAAGCTGGTGTCATAACAAATGCAGTAGCCTTTAAGGGACTGCAGGAGTCTGTCATTTTCACATTAAAACAGCTGCACAGCATCATGACTGGCTCTAGGCAGATTGCTCTTAAACAGGCATAGGCAAACTGCGGCCCTCCAGATGTTTGGGACTACAATTCCCATCATCCCTGACCACTGGTCCTGTTAGCTAGGGATGATGGGAATTGTAGTCCCTAACATCTGGAGGGCCGGAGTTTGCCTATACCTGCTGCTCTTAAATAATACAGAACATATTTTATTCAACATAGATCAGCCACTCCTTAAAATACTTTCATCAGGGTTGTGAAAGGATTTTTTTCTCGCCATACAGGCATGCTTTATAGGTGAAGTGGGGACTGAAATTCACTTTAGTGATTTTGAAACCAGGAAACCAAAGGAGTGGTATCCCTTCTGTATTATTCAGCGAGCAGTACAAGGATGCAGTTTAGTGCCTATAGTGCAAAATGAACAGATGAGGTGCACTGCACTGTTTCTTACCCCAGACTGCAGTAGCCACATCAACTCTGGCAGGTCCCAATTTTAACCTCTCTGCCATTAAGTGTTTCTGAGACCACCACCAATTCTTCAAAAAGCACCAGTGAAGGTGGGAGTTTGAAACATGAAATGCTGCAAACGGGACTAAGCCTGTTCTGCTGCCACCTGCCTCCCAACACACACTTTCAAATTCGTTCAGCAGGCTCCAAGGTCCTTCCAAGAAGAAAATGCACTGTTACTGCTTCCTGAATTCAATGACGTTTCCTTAAGGCTAGGAAGAGAAGTTACCTCTGGCAGCTGGGACTGGAGGCTGGCCTTCTCTGCTAGTGCATCATCAATGGACTCCAGGAAACTCCTTTCCACCACATCAAAAGCCTGAGGAGGCCCAGAAGGGTAGGCAACACAAAAGTATGTATTAGAACAGAAGCTTTGAACTGCTAACTAGACAGAATCTCCCACACTTATTTCTCCCTGCATAAAACATCAAAACTTCGCATGTTTTGCAAACCACTCAGGAGCTTTTAATTACAACAACAAGTACCAATTTATGACTGATTTTTTCCAAAGAAAAAACTCCATTACCTGCAGCAGTATTCTGCGCACATCACCATCATCATGGTCTGCATTCAGCTGGCCCAACAGGAGCTCTGCAGAGAGTCTTTCCCCAACAAAATTGGTGATCCGGTTGCCATCATAACCATTGAAGACCCCATAGAGGTAGCAGTCATTTTCACTCCTGCCAAAGAGGGTCAGGATGGGAAGGGACAATTAAAGGCGTGGCATTCAGCCTGTGGTTTGGGAGTAAAAACCTGGCCCACAGGTCATTCAATACCTACGGGACCGCCTCTCCTGGTATGCCCCACAGAGAAACCTACGGTCTGCAAATAAAAACATCCTGAAGGTCCCAGGCCTCAGAGAGGTTAGGCTGGCCTCAACTAGAGCCAGGGCCTTCTCGGCTGCGGCTCCAATCTGGTGGAATGCTCTGTCACAAGAGACCAGGGCCCTGCGGGACCTGACATCTTTCCGCAGGGCCTGCAAGACAGAGTTGTTCCACCAGGCCTTTGGTCAGGGCGCAGCCTGACTCCCTCCTCTGGCAACCTGCACAGAATTTTGCTTAATTGGTTGCCATCAATTTGATTTTAATTAATTTTATAATGAAATATTTTTAGAATGTGTGATTATTTGACTGTTTGATTATTTGATTGTTGTTAGCCGCCCTGAGCCCGGCTTCGGCTGGGGAGGGCGGGATTTAAATAAAATTTATTATTATTATTATTATTATTATTATTATTATTATTATTATATTAGCAGTTTCTAACGTGATGCCCTGCAGGTGTTGCAGAAATACAGCTCTCATCATCATTGACAAATTGGTCATACTAACTGGGGCTGATGGGAGTTTGGCCTCCCCTACAAAAAATATTGCTGGGTTAAAGTGGGCTTGTTGAATGAATGCCATTATTTCTGTTGCCCTGCTCCACCCAAATCTACAGGCTGCTTACCTGAATTTCAGCCAGTTATCCTCTAAGGGGTGAATTTCTGTCCCCTTTCCATCTGTGGTATAGGAACGGTTAGGAGCTGAACCCACACCGGAGAGCTGGCAGAGAGGCAAGTCATCTGTCCAACTTGGTTGCTGCTCCTGAATAACAGAGTAAGAAAGAAGCCCCAATGAACTTCTTCCAGCAAAAGCCACAAGGATAATGACTGTACATCAGCTGAAGAGTTAGCCTCCCAATTAGGGTGCTACTTTAAGATAGCTGACAATCTCTTACTGAGTCCCCTTTCCCACTTGCAGCTGATCCCTTTGTTGCCGTTCTTTTTTATTCAGTTATATACTTTATTTTACCTGCCCACACTTCTCCTCCTGCTACTTCTTTGCTAACCCAGCTTCCTTGTCCTCCTTCACTCATACCTCTCCCCACAAATTAAGCACACACAAAATTCATCTAGCATTAGGTTCCAAAAGATGCGTGAAACATATTTCAGATACATAGCTGGTTCTGCAGAGCAAAGCCAGATACATTTGATGCATTTTACTGACTGTATCTAGAGAAGTAAAGCTTTCTTGCCACATAAATGCTTCTCTGTGCATAATTCGGATTATTTTGGTACATATTTCTGAACACTTTCCTTGTGCCTTCTAAACAGCTGCCTTTCAGGACACCACAACTCTTGTTTACAGAGCAGCAGGGGATGTAAACCAGCTCTCTCTGCAAGGGGAAAGGGTAACATTCCTTTCCCAGTACAGCAGGGGTGGGGAACCTTTGGCCCTCCAGATATTGCTGAACGACATCTCCCTTCAACCCTGACCAGCACAGCCAATAGTCAAGGCTTATGGGAGCTGTAGTTCAGCAACATCTGGAGGGCCAAAGGTCCCTCACCCCCGCAGTAGGGAGCTTGTACTATCCCTCTGTACTTATACATGGTCTGTGGAAGAAGTGACATCACTCTGTCCTTCTACAGAACTATGGACTACAAGGGGTCATCCAGATATCAGTTTCCCCAGAAGCATCATAGGAAGAATTTTGTACAAGAGGTACCTGTTTTGCATGGGTTTGGAGTTACTGTCACTGATTTTGCACAACCGTTACTGTCTCTACATACTAATCTTTTTAGTACCTTTGGACCAGCAGTGATTGGGATGCAGAGTGGCCCAATTTCCTGCTCGCATGTGGATGTTTGGCATGTCATTATGCTGGTCATCCATGGAAAGACTATGACTTGCTGAGGAAAGCCAACATCTGAAAAAGGTCTGCACACCCCACTAAATGAACACATCCCACCTTGTACTGTGGCTCACCAGGGATTTAAGAAACACTGTTTTCCAAGGCCCACTAAATCCAAAAGATCTAGCCATGAGACTCAAAAACTGCTTGCAAGGTACATCTCAGTCTTCTATCTAGCAAGCCAATAAATGTGTCTCCGCTTTCCTCCCTACATCTATTGGGAAGGGGAAAATCTCCTTAGTTCATTGGCTCTCCAAAGTCCAACTAAACCCTGTAAGGATGGCAGTGAACATAAATTTGGGCTCCCTGATCTAGGTTCTGACAGACTGCCATACATAGCTGAGGAATGCATTCAGTCTGGTGGGCCACACTGGGTTGGGTTGGAAACACCTGCACAATTCTCTCTGTACATTCAGGAGACACAGAGTCGCATATACATTTGCTTTAGGATCAATATTTTAGCATTAATCCACAAATTTGAAAGAGGGGCTCTGAAAAGCTGGTACAAAGTTGGACAGGCACCAGTGCACAGATATGCTGGGGTACCCCATGCAGTCCTCAGGAACCCTACTGTGATCCTTTTCTGGAGTGTAGACAGATGAGAGGTCACAGGCAAGGGGACTTGAGCAAAGCATATGGGAATGGTGAGGACCATCTCGTTATTAAATAAGCACATCTTGTGGGCATCAAGCTTTGATTTCAATTCTTCTATTATGCCCTCCTTTCCCTACCACAAAAAAAATGAGGAAAGGAAGAGTGTATTCCCCTCAAGGAGACACCTTCTGCTGATCAAAACATCAGAAATTGTGGAAACCACCTCTCTCTGCTCCTCTCAGATACATATTGACAAATAATACAACCACAAACTTCCTATCTGGGGACCATTAACTTCTGACTTACAACAGTGTCCCCCCCCAACACACATCTTGAGTTGCCAGTCTCAAACCCCAGGCTGAGCAAATTTTCCCAGGGGCAGCTTTTCCCCATCACGGTATGGCAACTGGAAAAGCAGCAGCCTCTGAAGAAATTACTTCTTCTATGCAACTCAACAAGCCCTTTAGGAGTTTGGCACTGGCATCCTTACACCCATCCTACACCTAGTGGTGCTAATGATGATGGTAGAGGGAACAGGAGAGGGATGAAGAACCTGTCCCCCTGCCTCGCCCATTTTGTGGGGACCACAGCTCCCATCATGAGCCATGCTGGCACTGGGGATGGAGGGGGTGATGGGAGTCCAACAACTTCTGGAGGGTCATAGGTCTCCCATCCCTGGAGCCGGTTAACCAGAAGCAGAGGAGAGCAGAACTTATATCACCGTGTTGCAGAGAGTGTCCGACAAGTGCAGCTTTTTTTCCAGTGCTCCCGTTGTGAGCTGCAGCTGTCCCAAATACCTACCCTTGATCTCGTTATTAAAGGCACAAGGCGCCCTGTTTTCCTTTGGCTCTGGCAAGAGAGTAACACGCCTCTTTCTTTGCACCTGGCCCTCCACAGGTTGGTGGACTACAGCTCCCACCATACCTCTCCATGGGGCATTTTGGCTGAGTCTGATGGGAGCTGGAGTCCCAAAACACCTGGAGGGCCACAGGCTCCCCATGCCTGCTTTGCACAGGTACACGAACCCACCTCTCGCACCCTCCCTCTCTCGCTCGCAGGCTACCACCCTCGCCTTGTGCTCCCAAGACGGGAGCCGCCTCCTCGAGAGGGGAGCCCAGGGGCCCCGAGCCCTCCCCTTGGCCCCGGAGAGCTCCCGCCCATAGCGCCCCCCTAGAACAAGCTCGGCTGCTCACGCTCTGCAGGAGACTCCTCCTCGCCGCCGCCATCTTTACGCAGAAGCAACATCAACCTCCGCCCTTCCCCTGGCAAGGGAGAGGAGGAGCAGGCGAGAGGAAGCGGCGAGAGCGTCCGTCGGGTGGACAGGAAGCGTAGCGTCGCGCCAAAAAGAAAACACAAAAAAACTCGGTCACAGCGCCCCCAGGAGGACAGAGGGAGGCATCGCAGGCGACTGACTCTCCCATCTTCTTCCCCACTTGATGGAAGTCGTTCTGTGTCAGGTCAAAAAATGAAATTGCAGGCGTTCCAGGGGACTCGGCGGGTGGGTTGTACGCGTATTCCGGGGAGAACAGAAGAGGAGCCCTGCTGGATCGGACCAAAGGGCCCCCTAGCTGAGCATCCTATTTCCCACCCTGGCCAAACAGGCGCCTCTTGGGAAACCAGGACGTGAGCTCCATATCCGCATCCTGCTGCTCGTCCCCAGCAGCTAGTATTCCAAAGGGAGGCATCTGTGATCCTGGAGGTGGCAGAAGGACTGCCGATGAATAGCAACAACCACTTCTCCAAGCCGTTCTTGGAAGGGGGTGGGCTATGGGGCAGAGAGGCTCTCGATGGTGATGGAAGGGTGCAGTGGGCAGCAATGTGCCAGTTGCCTTTGGCATCTTAATTACACACACACAAACACCCCCCCCCGAAAACAAAGAAAGTTGCCTTATAACGAATCAGACCACTGGCTCAGTGTGCACGAAAACAAAGTTGCTTTATAACGAATCAGACCACTGGCTCAGTGTTCAGTGACTTGTTGTGACCCTGAACGTAGCAAAGGCATAATCTTGAATCTTTTGCATGCACTGAGCTGTTGTGGCTGTACAAATCTGTCCCATATTTGTGGTGGACGTCATCAGTGGTGAAGTGACTGGCTGCGCTGTAGCTCCGCCTATGCACCATCAATATGTGTGGCACTACTTCAGAGTGTCCCTGCCCTGAGGAGCTTACAATCTTAACATTTGATACAGGAGGAAGATGGAAGCAGAGGAAGAATATAAGCTTATTTCGATGACGGATAATTAGACTTGACAACAGAATCCGTAGGGCATTGGAGCTCGCTCTCTCTCTCTCTCTCTCTCTCTCTCTCTGTGTGTGTGTGTGTGTGTCCCATGGTCTTCATGGAAAAAGGAAGGTTTAAGGAGCAGACAGTGGTGGCACAGGCAGGTGATCTAAGAGGCAGTTCCAGCCATACATAATGAACTCAAAAGCATCCAGTACAATGAAGCCTGGAATTGAGAATTTGTTCTTGTGCAAACCCATGGTTCATATAAAGTTTATTGCACTCAGCTACTTCACTTGGGTTATATAAGTGTCACCTACTGGGAGATCAAAAAGTTTTGAGCTGGCAAAGCCTACGCTACTCTGAAGCTACCATGGTTACCTGTGTCCTATGCAGCATGACCCTACGTTGGTGTACTCAGAACCAAGCCCTACTGATGTAAATAGGGCTTACTGCTAAGCAACTGTAGAGAGGGAGATTATATAAAATAAATACCTAAATAAATAAACTTATTGCCTGCCCTTCAATATTAAAAAATTAGAACAAATTAGTCACAGGAATAAGGTGGATTCAGAAAACACACATCAAAGGCCAGGGTAAAGACATGTTACCTCAGCATTCCCTGAAAGCTGTGCAGTGAAGGCACCAGAAGCACCTCTGTGGGGAGCAAACGGGTTGCCACAGAGAATGATGCCCTTTCCTGGGCCACCACTTTCTGAACTTCTGGGGGTAGTGGATCTACCAAGTGGGCCCCTTCCGCTGATTTTAAAGCCTGAAGGCAATGCAGGGAAGGAGGCCGTCTCTCAGATATTTGGGGCCTGAATCATTTAGCATGAGCACCATGAATTATGCCTGGAAACAGCCAGCCAACAGCCAGAAACAAACGGGCAGAAGTGTGGCCTGATCTTTTGCATGCTTATTCAAACTCCCACTGAGTTCAATGTAGCTAATTCCCAAAATAGGTATGTACAGGACATCTTAATGTTACTGCTAGCGGCATTAATCAGCAGCAACCATAGGCTATATGGGAAGACTACTCATTACATAGCCTTAACTCATGGCTAATTTTTAGAAAGGGGTAGGTGGCACTCAAATCTGTTTATACCAGCCGAGTATGAGTTGTTGGGCAGATCGACACTCTATATTTAAAGCAAATTCAACACACATTTAAAGCTTGTGACTTCCTCCAAAGAATTCTGAGAATTGAAGTTCCCCCTCACAGAGCTACCATTTCCAGCACCCTTAACAAACTAGAGTGTCCAGGATTCTTGGGAGGAAATAATGTGCTTTAAATATGCTTTAAATGTATAGTGTGCTCCAGAATTAAGAGAAATCCACTTTGCACGCACTCAGAGGGTCACTTTTCAATACTTCCTCCTGTTCCAGACCTAACCAAGTCTTTCCTTCAGCAGCTGTTAACGTATGTACATACGTATTTGATACTGCTCAACTTCGTATGCACTTGTCTTCCACTGAGTCAGATCATCAGTCAGGGGAGCCCACATGGTGCTGTCCAGATGTTATTGGACTTCAACTCCCATCAGCCCCATTCTGCATGACCAATGGGGTGGGGGATGATGGGGGTGGGAGTCCAGTGTCATCTGGAGGAAACCATTGTCGAGTTGCAGCTCGGCATTCAGAGGAAAATCAGTCTCACACCAAGATAGGTTCCGAAATATGGCTGCTCCTAGGGCTAATGCAGCACAGCTTTTATTGTGTGAAATGTGTGAAATCAAAAAGATACAAAAAATACAAGCCAAGCAATTTGTTCTAGCCAGCAGATAAAGACCTTGGTACTAGACCATGCGAGCGATCAGGCCATGCTACGTTAGCCAATCATATGGGACAGCACGAGCTGTTCACGCGCTGTTCATGCTCCAAGGATGCTTCTAGCTATGAAATCACCCTGTAACAATAAGAACTTTGCTCATGCTCTCATGTACAAGCAATCATTTTCCCACAAACCATATTGACTAACCCAAAGCTGTCTGCTTATGCTAAGAATGGCTCTCCGAGAGCAAGTTCTTCACTGGACAAGCTCTTTCAATGGGAAATTCAGTGGCGAGAATTAAGAAACTCTCAGCCCCCTTAACAAACTATAGTTTCCAAGAATGTGGGGGTGGGCAGTAGAAACACAACCATTACAAGTGGTGAACCAGTGCTTTAATTATACGGTGCAGATGTGTGGAAAAACACACTCTACAAGGTTTTCAAATGCAGTTATAAATGATCAATGTAACGTTTAAACCCAGGGGGGAGAAATCATAACACCACCATTGCAATTGTTTTTGAATGTAATAACTTTATTGATAAGACACACCAGTAGTTACCACCTTCACTTTTTTAAACCACAAATATACAGGACGTCGTAAACACAGGTGCCAGGGTGGCAGGGTTTATGTTAGTTGGGGGAGACATACTGGAGGAGAAAATGGGCCAGTTGGGGTAGGGCTTGTAGTTCACCGGATGTTTTGTAGATCCTGTATGGAGCAGGCCACCCTTTCATTGTCTCATATGTATGCATATACATATGCATTGTTTTATATTATACATATATAATATATATACTATACAGAGGCAGTAATGCTGTAGATAAGGGCTGTAGAGACCCCACGATGTTATCAACGCCCCAGGAGCAACGAGAATGTCAGAACAAGTCTTTGTGTGCGTCGCATGAGGCAAAATGAACTGAAGTCTATGATTTCGTATTTTCAAATATGTTCCAGTTTAGATTCCTAAGACCAGACTGCCTGTCTAGGCATACGAGGTTCTGCCCACATGTATGTGAAGCTATGGGGGACTGGCAGCATCAAATAGTGAGTCTCTCTTCCAT